AAATTTTCATTTTTTGGTATATAGGCCTAGGACTCTTGCCACTAAATTCTGACTCTTGAATCTTCTTGCCTTGTTGATTGTGATAATACTACTGCCTCAGGTAAGAAACTTCTCCCACCAATTTCTGCCCAGTAAAATCTACACGAGCTAATTCACCAGCCTTTAGAATAAAAAACTCAGATGACAAAATTTCATTTTAACAAATTGCTAACAGATGGGTCTTCTGGTCTTCCACCTCTCAAGCATCTGGATAACTGTCCAAGTTAATGGCCTTTTAGAAAGTCTTTTGAGCAAGAGATAGAATAATTGCTTCACTATCTAAGGACATGTTTGTTTCATTGTGTTGGGTCCTAGAGGTGCTGAGATTCCAAATCTATAGAACTTGCTCTTAGAGCAAGAAGATTGGGTTGTTGGGTATCTCAAAGTCAATAACTCAAGCTCTCAACATTGTTCCCCAATTCCACCCCAGATGGTAGCTAATTGAGATATCAATACTCTTTTAAGTAAAATAATGGAAAAATCATTATGGGTATGGGCCATTGGGCACTGTAAGTATAGATTCTGGAGTCACACCAGCTGGGTTCAAATCCAGCTCTATCACTTCCTGCTATGAAGTTTTGGGAAATTATTTAAATTCTCTATGTATCAGTTTCTTCATTTGTAAAATGGACATGATGGTAGTAATAGCAGCTACCTCAAGTGGCTATCTTGAATTTTAAATGAATTATTAGATGGCATAAAAGTGACCAGTACTTGTCAGCTACTATTATTATTAGGAAATCCAGAGACACCTGGATTTTGCAGAATTAAATATTCAGGGCACATATAAATTAGCCTAAATAGGGAGGATGAGGAACACGAAGTAACTTTGTGTAGGGTCAGGGATTTAGCTCAATGGTAACTCTTGTGCTTTTCTAGCATGCACAAGGCCCTGGATTCAATCCTCAACACTGCTTCTCCCATCCCACATGCATACATGAAAATTAACTTCTATACAATCTTGGCCAAATTGAATAGTTAATGATGTCCTTCAGTCTGAGGAATAATCTAAGAGAAATGGAATTATCCATAATTTCCTAGATAGAAGAGAAATTACATAAGTACCTCAAAGTAGCTTGCTTTACTAAAAGCCTCTATTCATAATCGATTGCATACTCTATTGCATCTCTAAGTTAATGCTCAGAATAGTATATTTTTAAATCCTAGATCAGATTACTGGGATTTATTTTACTGAATGGAAGATTTGGATTATTCCTAACAAGTTTTCTCTCTAATATGAAGCACATTCAGAAGTGTTTCATACTTCATTTTCCAACTGAAATAATAGTAAATGATATTTAACAACCTTATCTTTCCATCTGCTACAAGAAGAAGAAGGAGGAGGAGGAGGAGGAGGAGAGGAAATAAAGTATTGTCTCATTTTGGACTAGGACAGTAGCCTCCTAAGGATTCAAGAACCCATTCACCTCTGCTCTGAACATGAATTTCCCACCCCTACAATGATATAATACATGCCCCCAGAGGACCCTCCCACCTTTGCCACTAAGGTAGTGGTACCTGCCATTTAAGTCACTGTTAAGGCATCCAATGAATATAAGATCTGATCACTGCTAAATGGAAAAAATATAGATCCAAATTTTGAGCCTCCTTCTTTTTGCCCCCCAAGATTTCAACTCAGAATTTCTTATATATCTGACCTTTAAAGTTCCCGGGATTCCTTCCTAATATTGCATTATGCCAAAACAATGAATAAGAGGCTCCTTGACATGCCAGAGAGAGGCATATGTGGGGAAAGAATGCTTCTGAGGAATAAATGAGAGAAAACAAGGAGAAAATGTCTGACCACATGTGTGCCCATGAAGATACAATGGATGGATGGGATAGTAAAGCTTTGCCAAAGAATTTGAGGGTTTGTTAAGCAAGTGCAAATATTCTGAAAGGACCAAACAATTTCTAAACTATTTTTGGGTATGAGCTTACACATACATGCACACACACATACTCTTAAAGATTTTAGCACTGTTAAATGCCTTAAGTCATTGAGTAATAGTTTTTCATTCTAAATACTTTTAGTGGTTTGTGATATTTTCTACTTTGTCAGGAGTTTCACTAGGAGCTAACATGCAAGCAGGAGCAAGTTATGAGAAAAGGTCACACCCACTTAGAAAAGAAAAAACTCCTCCATTCAGCAACAAAATAAGCTTATTGTAGAAGACACCTGAAAAGCTAGTTGGGATCACTGTGATGCATACTTCAGATAAGTACTAGTTCTACTTCTTCTATCTATTTAAGAATCACTTTAAGAATGAATTTTTTTAAACATGTGCTAACATGTATGAGTCACTGGAGAAGAGAGTGTTGCAATTAATCTGAAAGAGGAAGATTCTTGCAAGATTTTTAATAGAAAATATTCTTTTTTTTAAAGAGAGAGAGAGAATTTTAAAATATTTATTGTTTAGTTTTCAGCAGACACAACATCTTTATTTGTATGTGGTGCTGAGGATCGAACCCAGTGCCATGTGCATGCCAGGTGAGCGCACTACCGCTTGAGCCACATCCCCAGCCCTAGAAAATATTCTTATCTCTATACCTCTCAGTGAGAACATAAGACTACTTCAGCAATTCTTCAGGGCTGTTGGCACTCAGGATATGGAGCATGACCTTGTTTGTCTAGTGACATATGCAGCATGGTATGTTGCTCTTTTGGAAGAAGAAAATATAACTTTAAAAGCCAACCATTCAAACTGATTAGGAATTTCTACTTTAATGATTTGAGACATAACCATCACATTTATCTGAAATACTATCTTAGGAGGCGTAACTTGTCCTAAATCCATTCATTTGGCAAACATTTATTGGGCACCTCCTATTTACTAAGCAGTGGGAATGAAACAGTGAACCTTGTTCTCATGAAGTTCACATTCTACTAGGATGCAGAAAGAAAGAAGTGTCTGAAGAAAAATGATGCAGGATAAGAGGATGGATAATGATAGTGATGATATTTTTTGAGAACAGTAATATACAGGATAGTGAACCTAGGTGACCTATGAGCAGACATGAGCGAAGTGAGGGAACCAGTCATGTGACAACAATAGATTCTGGATAAATGGGTCATCAAACACAAAGTTCTGAAAGTAGAAACATGCCTGACTTGAAGAAGATCAAGGTCAGTGTGACTAGAATAGAGGCATAGTCAATGAGACACTTGCAGAAGTTACTATGTATCTAGAGTCTTGTAGGCCAACGAACAGATTTGAATTTGAAGTATGTTGGGAAACAACTTTTGGGAAAGTTTCTGAGCAGGGAAATGACCTGAAGTGATTTATGATAAGGATCAAATGTTTCTATGTTCACAACAAACTAAGCATCAGAGTGGAATGTTGAGTAAACTATTCTTTTCCAGGAATTATTTAAAAGGTTCTCTATAGAAACTGGCTAGTTGGAATCTATTTTACAAACCATTAAATACAAGTAAAAGCTGCTATATGTGAAGTAGTCTTGATGTTTAACTCTGGCAATAACTTCAGATATGTCAGAAATATCAATGACATTTGAGTAATAGTTTTTTGAGTAATAGATGGATGTGTATATATAGAATAAATATATTACTTCACAATTATTGTATGCTAGCAAACAAAGGCATCCTTTCACTAGGTTTGCACAGCTAGGAACTTATGTATAGTTACAGTGCAAACTTTTCATATAGCCAATGCACTTTTTTTTTTTTTGCTATGAATAAACATCATCTGGTTCTTGGCCTGTTGGAACTTAACATTCTATTGACTTTCAACAAACCATTTACTGAACGTCCACTGTGTCAGACATGGTACTAGACATGGCGAGACAAAAATGAAAGGTTCCTTTTAACCAGATGCAATCAGAAACAAATGAGAATTTTTATTTTTAAAAAAGTGCAAACATTTATAGAAAACTATACCAGGTAGTGCCTAAGTAAGCAAAATAACTAGTTATTTGTGGCATTATCAGGAAGAGGTTTCCTGGATGGATGAGCACAAGTTTTAAGAAAATGAATTAGATTTGGAAAATGGAATATTCTAGACAAGTAAAACAGCGCAGAAAGGCGTATAAGAGTCCTGTCATATGATTCCACACCCAGGTGTAATAGGTCTGGATCGTTAGCGAAGGGTGGAGGAGGCAATTGGAGGAGAGCTGCAAAAACAAGCCAAGTAGTTCACTATTGACATTTGAGGAGCAGCGAACGTAATGGAAACAAAGCGTTTTTGTTTGATTTTGCTGCCACCAGTATGTACTGCAAACGGGTACACCGAGACAGACTTTTTTACATTCATATGTCGTACTTTCAATACACAACTTTTAAAAACGTTTAGGACACATTCTGGAAGTTTTTCAGGAGAAAACAGTCCAAGAGCAGAAGTGTACATCAATTGGGGTTCAAAGGCGAGGAGAAAAGCGGCTTTCCATTCCCCGCTTCGGTGCCAGTGTGTTGTAAACTTTTACGAAAAACGGTTTTAACCGACGATATAATGCCTTTAAAAGTGCTTATCACAGTGTCTGGCCCATAGTATGCACTCAACAAATTACGGTTATTATTTGGACCTTAGACCTCTCTTGTCCATTTGGGATTCAGGTTTCTCGTTTTCAGGGGGAAGAACGGAACGCAGATGGTCTCCGGGGCTCCTGCCAGCCTTGACAATCTCCGATTTCAAGTAGACACCAACTAACATCTGCAGGACAAAGTAAATTCTCTCCACCGGGTGGGGCTGGGCACCCATCCAAGGACCCAAGTCGGGGCAGGACGGGCCCGCGAGTCCCACAAACCGTTTTGGTGGGTGAAAATATACTGCACATCCCTCTGCTAAGACCAACAGGCGGGCTGAGAGAGCGGGTCTCCGATCCGCCAGGGACCGGCTCCCCTCCTCAGCTCCGGGCGGGGCTGGGCGCAGGACCCGCTCTCCAGAGCCCAGCCCACCGGGCCGGGTCCCACCTTCGCCGACGCTCCCGCCACGCCCCTTCCGGTTGAAGCACCGCCCCTCTCGCCCACGGTCGTCTCGCCGGCCCCGCCCACGACCCCTCCCCGCCGCGAGCTCGGCGCCTGGTCCTTTCAGCGCCAGCCTGCGGACACGTCCACCCCCGACGCTCTGAGGTCACCGACACAGCCGGACTGCGGGGGGCGGAGGGACGGAGGGAAGATGGCGGCAGAGGCCGGATATTGGCGCCGCCTCCCCCAATCCCGGAGCCGGCGCAGATGAGGCGGCTCGGCTGGGGCCAGCGGCGCTTCGGAACCCGAGCTGGAGGGACCCTGGCGGTGGGGCCTGTCCCTGCTCTATGCCGGCGCCTCGGCTAGAGTGAGCGGCGGCAGCGGCGGCGACGCCTCTTTCCTCCGGCCGGTTCCCTGTGGCTGTGAGTCCGAGCGGGTGGCCGGCGGCGGGGTCGGGATGGAGGACGTTAACTCCAACGTGAACGCGGACCAGGAGGTGCGGAAGCTGCAGGAGCTGGTGAAGAAGCTGGAGAAGCAGAACGAGCAGCTGAGGAGCCGCTCGGGGGCCGTGCAGGGCGCAGGCCCCCTTGGGCCCGGCAGCCCGGTTCGGGCCGGCGTGTCCACTCCCTCCTCTGGCTCGGCGTCCCCTCGGGGCTTCCCTTTGGGCCTCAGCACCAAGTCGGGCAGCGGGGCCGGATCGGGCCCGAGACGGACGAGTAGTGAGGAGCTGCGGGACGCGACCTCCTTGCTGGCATCTGGCGAGGGCGGCTTGCTGGACGAGGTGGAGCCGCTGCGGCCCGACGAACTGGAGCGCCTGTCAGGCTGGGAGGAGGAGGAGGAGAGCTGGTGAGCGCGGGGCTCCGGCCGGGGTTGGGCGGGGACCGGCCGTGGGCGGAGGAGCGTCCTGCGAGGGTCCCTCCGGTAGGACGCCGCGCTTTGTGTAGCAGGGTCCGTTCTCTGCAGGGGACTAGTGGTTTTCTTGCTTTGGCTATTGGAAGGTCAGCTAGGGTTGGGGATTCGAGGTGTGCGCAAGGAAAGAGGCATGTAGCCAGCTCTCCTCTGGGTGGTGAACCCTCTGGGGTTGCTGGACTCAGGTGGGGTCTATGGGTTGGCTCACCTTGAGTAGGTCTGCGCGCTTGGAGGAGTCGGAGAAGGGAAGCTGCTTCCACGGAAGGAATCCTGCTTTGTGTGAATATACCAGCTTTCGGATGGTGGCCTGAGCATTTGAGATGTCAGGGAGGGGTCTGCTTGTTGAAGTATCACCGGATGGGGGGGAGGGTTCACCAGAGTCGTCTTCTGTGTCAGTGTAGTGGTCAGTGTTCTGGGCCAGTGAGGTGGGTGAAATGGGCATATTTCTGGTGGAGATGGAGAAGCCGTGTGAATCAGCACTGCCCTTTGGGCAGTGGGGTAAAGCTTGCTTTGTGTGAAGAGGGCAGAGGATGGTGATGCTTTGTGTGAAGAGTCAAGGGTAGAACAAGAGCAACTGGCTCTTAAATTTTAAAGAATTGGATCTGGCATTTTTTTGAGTTGTGGAGCGACAGTTATCAAACCCAGTTTTCATTTCCGTGTTATCCTAGGGGCAGAGAAAAAGAGCCCTACTTATAAAGATCTAAACCAAAGCTGTATTGTCATAAGTCACTTCTTGATGAAGTTGTGACCCACACCTGAATATCACTTTCATAAATAGAAAGGACATTGCCTAAAGTAGTTGGGACAAATGTTAAGGAGGAGGTATCTTTGGAGTCTTATTGCTGCCTAATAAAGATGAATCTGGGAAATTCTCTCTACTAATTCATTTTTTTTAAGTTTTAACTTTTAGTTAATATGTTTCTATTCTTTGTTGAAATTGAAACTTCTAATTTAGTCAAATGGAAATCCTTCACTATATAACAGGGCTGAAACTGGAGTGTTCTGAGCTTTGCCTGGATTTAGGCCCTGACTATGCCACTTACTTGTTGTATGACCTTGGACTTCACTTTGAACTTCACTTTTCTTCCTGTTTGATGGAGAATATTATAATTGCTTCCTCCATAGAGTTGTGAAGATTGAATGAGATAATTTAGCATTGATCTGGCATGTAGTAAATTCTCCAATACTAGTTACTGTTACCCTTAGGCCTAATAATTGAAATCAAGAAATATTTGGTGAACTGTTCCATGATATCGTGGGAAATTCTTAAGTGTTGTTGCCTGTTCATAAAGCAATTTCAGTCGTGTTGAGAGTTAAGTTTTAGGCAACTAAATAAGGTAGGATATATACAGTGAATTTTTGAAAGAATGATAGTTGAACAAGAAGTACTGACAGTGCTCAGAAACTCGGAGGAAAATAATGGTCTAAAGTAGTTGGACAAATGTTAAGGAGGAGGTATCTTTGGAGTCTGAGGGCGGGGAAAGAGTAGGAATGGCATTGTAAGCTCTGACAACTACAAAAGGTATTTGTAACTCCTAGTTAGAAATATGAATAACAGAGGTACTCTTAAATATATGATGTCAAGCCTTTTATTGTCATGTGATAACAAGTATTAGAATTGGCTATGGTAGTGACAGTTTTTCATGTAAGTATAAAATCGCATCCTCCCAAAGGAATCCTTAGTATGTACACACTTAAAAAAGAACCTAAAATCATCCTAATATCACCTGCCCCTTCCAAGTGGTGATCATAATGATGCTTGTAATAATGAGGATTAGCTGCACTCATCAGCCCATTTTTAGATTATAATTAGAACACACTGACTACACTTAAAGAAACTGATTAAGTCCTTGAGTACTTTGGTTTCTGAGCATAAGATTTGTTAAGGTAAAGCAAATGTTCTTAAATACTATGCCAGGTGTTTCTTTTGACCAGATAATGGCTCCTTGCTGCTTTAATCTGGCTTGTTATCTTTATATTACAGATATGCTTTTTCTGAAAAGATTTGTGGAAATTAAGAGTTGAAAGTTGGATAAATTTTATTAAAAATGCTTTGGAGTATGTTTTATGGGTATAAGTTGGAGGGGGTAGGTATCAGTGCCAGAAGATTCATGAGTCAAAAGAGTTTTTTTCTTTCTTGGCAAACCCAAATCCTGCCATCTGTGGATTCTACCAATCACACCATTTTCCCCCTATTTAGAGGAATGTTTTCCCCATGTAGATATATATGCCACAAAATGCTAGTCCTGAAAGTGCCAGTAGGCATTTTGGGGAAAAATAACTGTGGGTTCTGGGGTCAAATAAATGTGGGGAAAACTGGATTCAATAAAAATAAACATTTCTTTAATGCTGGACTTCTTTGAGATGCAATTGTACACTGAACACACTGAATCCCTAAGGGATATGGTTTTTTCCTAAACTTAATTGAACTCCCATAGAACTGGTTAGTATAGTATAGACTACATTTTATTTAGGTAACAGAAGTCTACAGCTGTGCCTGTCACACTTTGTGGGGGAGGGTAGGGTATCCAACTTTATAATATGAAATACATTTTACCTCATAACCTAGTACACAAGTTATTAATAACATGAAAGTTGCACAAAACTATGGATACTTTTACTACGAGTGGTACACTCTAATATTTTCTGTTGTCTTCGGTTTCATTGGTGGGAGTAATGCCAGTTACCACTTACTAAACTGATTTTGCACCTCTCACTTTGGAAAACACAGTTCTAGAATAACTCAGAAAAATCTAGGGAAGGAAACTAACATTTTTGTGCATCACAGTGTTTCAGGCTGTGCCAGGCAGCTTATAAACATTTTTGCATTTAATTTTTATACATTTATAAGTTTGGTATAATTTTCTAGGTAAGAAAAATTAATGTCTTACTCAGCATCAAATAATACACAGTAAACCATGAAGCCAAAATTAGAATCCAGGTATTTATACACAAAGGCCTATTCTGTTTCTGCTGTATTTTGCTTTTTCCAAGTATGATACCTTTTCACCTGAGTGGCCCCATTGTTTATTTTTTGCTGTTATGGGGATTAAACCTTGGGCCTGTCACAAGTGCTCTGCCACTGAGCTACATCCCCAACCCATGAGTGGCCCCTTTAAATATTTGAAGACTACTATCATGTCCCCATTGATCTCTTTTCCTCAACACACATTCTGAATACTCTTCTCCAGAGTAAATTTTTCCACTTTGTTTAATAGTTTCTTAAATAATATAGTTGTCTGATCCTGTTATGTTTTTCTGAACTCTGGTTGCTCACTCATGGTATCCAGAATTGTACTCAGCATTTTAGGTGATAGTTGACCAGAGAGAGTGTGGTGGGTATACCTGGCTTGAGCTAAATGCTATTACTTTTATAATAATGCTGTTATCATATATTTTAAAACTGTCATTCATTGATGATTTTAACTTCTATTACTTAGGCTTAATATGAGCCAGTACAGTCAACTTCTATCCCACATATCTCATACATAGGTAGTTAAACTAATCTTTTTAACCCTGTTTTTGTGAAATGAAGTTTTTAGTTTAAATATAAGGCTTTCAAATTTCACTTTGTTAGCTTTGATTTAGGCATTTAAAAGTATTTCTAATTTTTTTGGAGTGTTATCTTTATATTTGGTAGGTATGCCTACAGGGTCTCCATTCAAATCGTAAATAAACAATGTTACAATGACAACTGAATTACTATGAAGTGTGCAATTTAATTCCCTCCAAATTAACATCAGTCTATTAATCAACACACATTATGGTTATTCAGTAACTATTTGTCCCATGTATAATTTTCAGGCTTATATGACATTTTGTTTGCATATTATGAAAAATTTTGTCAAGTGCTTTGCTGTAATTAAACCAAAATGTGCCTACAGTGAAGTAAAGTTATAAAAATCACAGTTAATTTGTTTGTCTTGTTCATGCTGACTGTTTTGGATTTTATGGAATCAGTTTTTCCTCAAAGTCACAAACATTCTATTTAACCCAATTTGAATTTTGCAAAGAATCTGTTTGTTCTGGAATTTCTAAACATTGCTTATTTTTCCTCTTTAGAAATTATATTTCCTCTGATGTAGACTTTCCCCCCCCCCCCCCCCATGGTGCTGAAGGATGGAACCAGGGCCTTGCATTTACTAAGCAAGCACTCTACCACTGAACTGTATACCAGCATTTCTAATAGATAATGATTCAATGAAAAAAATTCTATTATTTTCCTTCATTCAGAAGAGTAGGCATAAACCCATTTAAAGCTATATTCTAGCATACTATCACCTTCCTGCAGTTGAACTTCAATTTCCTTTCAAGAATGTTTGTTCTGCACTGTCCACTTGAAAAAGTTTATGGCAGAAAAAAACCTCAAAAGCTAAAAAAGATATTTCTTCCTCTCCCTGTCATCTAGTATTGTTGCATATTTTGTTCCAGTATTTTAGATTATCCCTTTTTTGTGCTAATGCTATAATTTTTTCCTTGAGTTTTCCATGTTGAGATATAATTTGATACCATAAAACTTACCATTTTAAGGCATATAATTCAGTGACTTTTAGTATATTTGTAAAGTTGTGCAACCATTACCACTAATTCCAGAACATTATTATAATCTCTAAAAGAAACTCCAAACTCAATCATTATTTCCCCTCTTTCCATCTCCATTTATCTACATTGTATTTTTTGTTGTTTTTTTTTTGTTTGTTTGTTTTGTAGTATTGGTGATTGAACTCAGGGCTTTGTGCATGCTAGGTAAATGCTCTACCACTGAGCTACATCCCTAACCCTTTTTAAAATTTTTATTTGGGGACAGAGTCTTGCTAAATTTCTCAGACTAACCTCAAAACTTGGAATCCTATCTCAGCCACCCAAGTATCTGGAATTACGAGCATGTGCCACCACACCTCGCTCCATTTAACTGCTTTCTGTGTCTACCAAATTGC